TGATTTGTTTTCTCATCATTGTGGTACGTTAATTTCATTTAGTTATGGTTTAATACACATATCTGGTTCTTCCTATAATGATTTGGGATAGATGAGTGTTGATTTGGAACCCCTTTTGATTTCCATAGAAAATATTTTTAAAACTTATTTTTAATCAAAGAAAATTTGTTTGCGATCTATTCAACCCCCCCCCCCCCTCGAGATCGTTGCCCTCGTCTAACAGTCTTTTCTGTTTAAAATTTCAATTTTGTTAATAGGCGTTTGGTCTGTCTCTCACTTTATTTTCCTTTTATTTTATAGTAGCTCTTTTGTTTTTTTTTTCTTTACTACTTTATGTTGCCTCTTTTAGTTATTTGAACACTCCTATTATTTTTCACATTGTTGTATATTATTAGTTTCTACTTCTACTTATATGATTGAATATGTTTCTTTATGGCATAATAGATTTGCTCATATTAGTATTAGCACCATGAAAAGATTAATAAAATCTAGTTTCATTTCATGTGATGTTAATAATTTCAAAAAATGTGAAATATGTATTAAATAGAAAATGATTAAGAAACTTTTTCATAATGTAGAAAGAAATACCAACTTGCCTGATCTTGTAAATTCAAATTTATGTGAATTTAATGACATGTTAACTCGTGGAGAAAATATGTATTTTAGTACTCTTATTGACGATTGCTCTAGATTCACATATGTATATCTTTTCAAGCATAAAGATGATGCTTTTAATGCATTTAATATTTATAAAGCAGAAGTAGAAAATCAAATAAAAAGAAGTATTAAAGTCCTTAGGAGTTATAGGGGTTGTGGATACTTTCTACTACATTCGATGCATATTGTGAAGAACATGGTATTATACATGAAAGTTCTACAATTCGTACAACATAACAAATCCGTCTAGTTGAAAGAAATAATTGTGCATATCAAGAAATGATAAATGTCGTGTTAATGCATTCTGGATTGTCATTTAATTAAGGAGGTGAAGCTTTGTTATTTGCTTGTCATATAATGAATATAATTCCTTTGAAGAAAATTGGTATTTCTCCATATGAGCATGGAAAGGCAGAGCGCCAAATATCGACTATTTTAGAGTATAAAGGTGTGTTGCCCGTTATAAGAACATGGATCCTAAAAGAACTAAGTTAGGCCATCAAGGGATCAAGTGTTCTTTTATAGTCTCTGCACGTAACAGTAAAGCATATAGACTTTTGAATTAGGAGTCTAATGTAATTATTGAATCCCGAGATGTGGAATTCTATGAGAATCTTATCATGAAAGATAAGGAATATGAGATTCCCACAAATGAAGAACCTCGTAAGAAAGGTTCTCCGCAGATTTCTGAAACACAAACCAAAAGTTCTTCAAGGATTGTTGAAACACAACCTGAGCTTTGGATAAGCAATAGAGTCCAAAAGGCTAAGGATATAAACAAAATAAAAAAAAAAATTGATTCTCAACTTGTTTCTTTTTATCTAGTATAAGGAAATATTGAGAATTTTGTTTGCAAGATTTTTATTATTCTTCAAGTGGAAGATGGTCCTAAGACGTATAAGGAAGTAGTAGCTTTAAGGGACTCATTATTTTTTAAGGATGCTATCCAAGACTAAATAGATTCAATAATGTCAAACCACACTTCGGAACTTGTCGATCTGAAAAGAAAAAAAAAAGATCAAGACCCATGGGATGCAAGTGGGTGTTTAGAAGAAATTATCATAGTGATGGTACACTAAACGCCTACAAGGCTATATTAGTAGTCAAGGTATTTGACAAAAGTAAGATGTTGATTATTTTGACACATATGCACGAGTACAAGGACGATGACGAATAGGGTATTGTTTGCATTAACTTCTTTGCATGACCTTATAGTTCATCAAATTGATGTCAAAACTGCATTTCTAAATGGATATCTCGATAAGGAGATTTACATGGAGCAACCGCAAGGTTATGTGCTTCATGGTAATGAACAAAAGGTATTCAGTCTTGTCAAATTCATGTATGGCATCAAAAGTTTGACTCAGTCATACTTTCAATTGGATTTGTTCTTAATTCTTGTGACAAGTGTTTGTACAAAAAGGTGCTAGAGGACATTGTTATATTCCTTAGTCTCAATGTTGATGACAAGTTGATCATTAGCAATGAGATGACAGAAATTTTAGAAATGAATAGGTTTTTAACTTTCACATTCAAGATGAAAGAACTTAGACTAGTTGACAATATTTTTGGAGATCAAAGTGAAGCGAAACAGAGGGGGTATGAACTTAATCAAACACACTATGTTGAGAAAGTTATTAATAAGTTTAAACACTTATGTTTTAAGGAAGTGAATACTATGTTTTATCCTGGTGTCAAGCTTCAAAAAATGATGGAAGAGTTGTGGCTTAATTCAAATATACAAGTGCAATTAATTGTCTAACGTATTCAATGCAATGTATTAAACCTGACATAGCATTTGCAGTTACTAAAATTAATGGATTTACTAACAATACAAATGGTGAGCATTAGAAGGTCATCAAAAGGATTCTTGGTTATATTTCAAAAATCAAAAATCATGACCTCCATGATGGTAGGCTTCTTTCCATATTAGAAGGATATATTGATACGAGTTGGATATCATGTGTTAAAGATCATAAATCTACAATTGGGTGGATATTTACACTAGTTGATGGTGCAATTTCTTCTAAAAGCAAGAAACAAACGTGCATCACTCTCTCAACCATGGAGTCATATATCGTGGCTCTTTATTCCATTGGTCAAAAAGATGAATGGTTGATGGATCATCTGTTGGAAGTTTCATTGGCTATACACAAGATTTAAAAGATGTTGATAAATTGCGATAGTCGAGCCACTTTAACTAGAGCATACGACAAAGTGTTGAATAGAAAGTACAGGAACATAGGTCTTAGACATTCCCTCGTGAGAAAGTTAATCAAGAATAGAATCATTTCAATCACATTTTCATGTTCAAACTATAATTAAGTTGAACCATTTACTAAATCACTGCCATAGATTCCATAAAGACTACCTCGAGAGATGTGGGATTAACTTTTTAAGTAAAAGTTCCAACATTTGTAGCAACTCAATCTAACGTTAAGAAACATTAAGATTAGATTCAACGGGTAATAACAAGATGTTTATTTGGATGTATGTGCAATATTATGTAATAATGTTGACCATTGCATTTGGAGGGTTGAGTTTTTCAAACGCTTAATGAAGTTCATTATTAAAACAAGTGAGGGATTGTTCCAATAATAACCATACATTTTGCAAGTGAGTAAATGAGCATTCAATGTATAGAAAATAGTCTCACATTAAAATTTTAACTTACTTTAACGTTCTTTATAGAGAGTGCACTCATTAATTTTTTAAGGAGATAAAGAAGAGAGAGTATCACATGAATGAGTGTGGTAGTCCCAAGTCTTATGCCACTTGTCACCTTCACATTCCCCCTCGTCGGTGTTGCCACCGGCAACACCAGTTTCGAAATCGGGGGAATGGTTGTAGAGGCAACTTGTTGGCAGCACATAAGCACACGTGTGACTATTTCGAATTCAGAAAAACATATTATTGAGTCTGAATTATCATGGGTATTCATGTGTATAGACTCAAACAATTAAAAAATACTTAAAATACTATAAAAAGAATATTCATATACACAATATTAACATTAATCAAATTTATTTTGAATCATTATAAACCAAAAAAATGAATTTGTATTATGATGTTGTCTTCCCTACAACAAGTTTGTGCATGGTGTATTTACAATCGAGATAGTTCTTTGACCATATTCATGTTATGTTTTGAATTAATTGCGATTTAGATATCGTGCATGGTGTATTACTTGTGAGATTTACAATCGAGATAGTTCTCTTGACCATCTTCATGTTAAGTTTTGAATTACTTGCGATTCAGATGTTGATATCGATACCATAGATATTATATATTTTATCCATTGAAGGTTGAAATCCTAGAAAAAAACAAATGCTAGGAATTTTTTAAGATTGCGCTCTTGCGGTTTGAAAGTCTCGAGATTATCAGGGAGGTTTGTGAGTCTTTTATTAAAAATTCGAGTTTGTAAAACATGATAAAAATATGATTTAATTTGAGAATTTTAAAGACTATTTTCTTACCACTCATATTATATTATGTGTTCTCAAATATTATTATGATAAAAATATGATTTAATTTGAGAATTTTAAAGACTATTTTCTTACCACTCATATTATATTATGTGATATTATTATTTCTATTGTTCGAGGTGATATTATTTTTGTCTCACGTATTAAATACTTAAATCATTTGTAATTACTCTTTCGTCAATAAATGATTTTCAAAACTCATTCTTCATGTACTATCAATGAAGTTTGAAATTCAACAATTGAGAGCATGTTAACATTCTTGGATTCTTCATAGTGAACTACACATTTGACTTATTGAAAAAATTGTTCTAGCGGACTGCATTTGAATACATTAGCAGATCAGCACAAGAACTGACTTGATATCCTAAGAACTGAATACTGAATAAGAGAAATTGTGAAAGTGAAAAAAGACACATCAAAAAGAGCACGTCGAGAATGGTGAGCAAAGCAACAACCAGAATCAACACCTCAGAAGATGAGACGAGATGGAGTCCTCTTCTAAAAGGATCAATTCAAAGCATCTTCTATGCTAACTAAATACGCATGTGATTTTGATCACATAAGCAAAAAAACAGCTTAAATCACAGAAACAACACTTAATGATTCTTCGATAACAAAAAATATGCATAGAGAAGGGTAATCAAATCATAGTAAAACTAAAATGTAATACTATAATTTGGATGAAATATACGAGAAAACAGCCAAACGAGAAAAACTGCAATAATCTCTCTTCTTTCACAAAGAACACAAGTTTCTAGGCAGATGACAATACAAAAACTTGAAAATTAAATTATCCGGACAAAATATAATGCATTCAAAAATCTCAGAAAATGAAGCAAAACAAAATAACTGCAATAATCAACGGTAACGGCGGAGTGAAAGTGTGTTGTTCTTCTTCCAGGTTGCCCTGCGAGAAGGACGGTTCTTGTGGTTCCTGTGTCCCTTGCCCCTCAAACCTCTGTTTTCTTTCCCTGCAGAAGTGAGACCACGAAGTTCCCTGTGCTTGTGGACAGGGTTGACGAGCCAATTGATTCTGGGGTCATTTCTAATAGCAGTGTGTGCAACATCAACCAAAATGACCTCAAAATATTTGAAGGTGGAATCCTATTTTCAAAACAAAAGGCAAGGATTAGCCCAATCATCAAACATTACATCACCAAGTCAAACCTCCAATATTAAAATCACAAACACAAACCTCATTGACCCAGTAGGAATTGAGAACCCTGAGGCCTCCAAGCTTACGTCCAGCACGCTCCTCAGCAAGTGACCTCTTGCTTCTCTGAAACTTCAATTGGGTAACTCCCTGGTTTGTGGGCTTACCATAAACAATACCTTTTGGAACAGGCCTCTTCCTTCCACCTCTACGGACACGAACACGGTAGACAACATAACCCTGTAATAAAATAACAAACATTAAGCAACACAACTAAGATCAATCATAAACCAAATCCAACCAATTTCCTAATTCTAAAACTTGGCAATAATAACAGACCCAAATATCCATCAAAAGAAACTGCATATACCCCAATAAAAGTTACCCATAACATAATAAAATGAAAGTATATGGCCAAAGACAAAAACAAACAAGAGGAATCTAAAATAGAAAATACACCAAATCCTACTGATTAATCTATAATACAACTTATGAACTAAACTTAAACCAATATATAAGACATAGTTTATTAATAGTGATGATATCACAGTTAACTTACAGAAAATAGAGTTAGCTACAACGAAACTCAAAATTGAAACTAAATAACTCAATGCAAAATTAATTATTTGAAAACCCCAAAATCAAACCTAAAAATTATATCTAACTAACTCAATGCAAAATTAACTATTTGATAAACCCTGAATCTTTTTAAAACGCAAAAACTTCAAACGTCGTATAAAATGTTAAGAATGAAACAACACGGTTGAATCAACAATTACGTAAAAATGACAAAAACCTATTAAAGTCAGATACCTGTTTGGCCTTGTATCCCAAACGGCGAGCCTTGTCAGGACGAGTAGGCCTGGTGAGACGAACAATGGAAGATTGCTGACGGTACTCCCAGCACCTCACACGCTGCATAAACCTCATCACGTCGGACTGCTTCTTGCGCCATAGCTCGGAAACGTACTTGTAGGCACCTATTCACAACATCACAAACAACTTATTATAACACTAATTCTCAACAAACAGATCAAATAGAGAGTAGAAACATCGTGAAAAGCTCGAGAAAATCGAATCGCAAGCAAAAAGATCGAGATACAATTGAATCGAAAGCATAAGAAACTGTACCCATTTTCTCTGTCTCTGAAGAGAGGGTAGCAGCGCACCAAACAAAAGAGTGAGGACTTAGGGTTTGAGAAGAAACGCGTTTTATATATGATTTTTCAACCCTAATTGGATTGTGGACCCAATGGACTGTATTGGGCTGACCCGTTGGTTTCTATTCATATCAGTTCTATTTCTTTTTACACCTCCTACATATTTAAAATAAATATGTTAGAAAATTACACTTATTTTTAAAATGTCATAAAAAATTTACATCAAAATTAATAATAAGGTGAAATGGATTTAAATATTCTACATAATTTTTTTTAACAAAAATAAACTACATGAATTAGTTTTAAAAAATCACAAAATATTCCATAATAACTTGGATAATACCCTTTTAAAAAAAAAACTTGTTTATGTAAAACATTTGTCTCGTATAATTTTTTTTTTTAAATACTTGTTAAAGTTTTTAACCTCACATAAGTTTTTTAATGATCTCTATGGCTGAACCTCTTTAGACTCTCTGAAATTAATCTTGAGGTGGAATCATATGTTATATTTAAAAATTATACTATGCTCGTGTAGTTTTTTTATAAATTTAGTCATGAGTATTATTTTATTTCAAATTCAATGAGTCTTTGGTAATCATGTTATTAGTATATAAAATGTATACATGTTGTCGTTTTTTTAATGGAATCTCTTTTTTCAATGATATCATTTTCATCATCAATATTTATTTATGATATACTTCTACTCTATGTGTTAAATATTAGTATATTTGTCTTTAAACATTATTATGTATTTTTTTTATTTACTGTAATAAGAGTAAGTATTTTAATTTAAAAATGTTTATTGATGTAAATTTATAGTTTGAAATTTAAGATTTTTTTAGGGTCTGTTTGGTTGGGGTAAATGGAAGGGAGGGGAAGGGAGGAAATATTTAATAGTTTATGTGTTTGGTTCAAATTTTAAGAAGATAAGAGAAGGTATCCCTCCTGAACCAGTTTTTGTTTCCCCCGATTTGGAGGAATTTGGAGGGGAGGGGAGGTGCTTGATTTTTATTATAATTATATTTACATATTTATCCGTATTATTTATTTAAATATAAATTTAACTTATAACAATGTTAAAAGTTTTATTTTGAACAAATTTAATCTTTCTTTTTATATTTTTTTTGTATTTTTATATCTTCGTCTTACTATCATTATATTTGTTTAAATTTTTTATTTTATTTTTCATATTTTAATGTTAATTTTAGTTATCGTAATGTTTTTGTTTATAATAATAGGGGGACCAAAACTGTAATTTAGTCAATTATATATTATAATCGTTGCATTTTTATAAAATATTTCATGATGATCTCTGATTGAATATTTATATTTCGTCAATAAATTTGTATTTGAATTATAAACGGTAAATATCACAAGTCTTATGGTAAAATTAGAAGGATAAAAAAGTAAATTAGTTTTAAAATACCTTGTATCCCCTTGTGAATCAAACATATTTGTAAATAAAATGCATCATCTCCCCTCCGCTTTCATATTTTGAACCAAACATATATGTAATTAAAATCTCTCCCCTCCCTTTCCTTCCCCTTGATAAAAATCCCTCCCCTCCCCTCCCCTCGATTGAACCAAACAGACCCTTAATGTAACCGCATATGTTTTCATGTAAACAATTAATATGAGTGAGGTTTGAATAGTGCTCTTTTTGATAGGCACTTAAAGTCATCCATCTTTCTGTGGTGTTTGTCTTGGTACCATATAAAGAAAAGACATTTTAATTTTAGAGAACATTTTTAAACGACTTGATCACGTCCCTAAATCATAAATGACATAAAGGTATAGATAGAAATAAGGGTTGAGCGAGTCATTAAAGTGGTCCTCTCTTATGAGAACGCTTTCAAAATGACATCCTCTTCATGACAAGTGTTTGAGAGCCCGATATATCGCCAGAAGAGTGAGTCATCAAAGGTAATCGTGTTGGTCCTCTCTTTTTATTAGCACGCCTCCAAAATGGCATCCTCTTCGTGGTTTGTGTTGGAGAGCTCAATCTATCATCAAAAAAGCCTAAATCTTCTCCTCACTCGTATACAGGATGCAAAATCTTCACCATCAGTTGTTGGGAGTTTCGTAATAAAGAATAGGAAGAAAGAGAGTCAATATAAGAACTATTAGTGCTTTCGTAGCTTCCAAAAATGCATAAATCTAAGAGTTTATAGTTAACATATATGTTTGCCTATTTTGTGTTCGCTGCGTAGTGCAAACACATCGTGGACCACTCTTTAATGTTAAAGGGCTTCATCAACTTGTCATTCTCATATAAATCCTTAGTTATCACCACAGAGGAAGAAAAGGGCTAATAGTGAATAACGAACCCCTTTATAGGGATCAAAAGGCTAATCTTATGGGCAATCAATAACCTTTTACTAAACACCCAAACAGTAAAAAAAATTATTCGCATTCTTGACACGTGAAAAGGATTAAGGTCAGTTATGCTTCCTAAGGATAAATCCTCATTGATCAGATTTAGTGTTGTGTGTGCATCCACCTCAACTGACGCGTGAGGACTTATCTCGGAAGAAGTTTGAGGATCCACCTCGTTGACACTAGGAGGGTTATTGTATGCCACGCTTAAGGCACTCGCCCCAAGCATCCCTAAGGGGCTCACCCCATGCATGCTTAAGGGACTCGTTGAAATGTGAAGTAGTTGTCTGACCAAATCATTTCAGTCTTTACAAGCCTTTGTACTTGAGAGATTGTGTACTAGTATGCTTGTGGACGATTCATATGTGAGTGAAACTTTCTATTATATGTATTTTGAATTATGTCAAAACTAGGATAATGTAGTGTTAATGTATAGTGGATGGTATCCTCTGATTCTAGATGTGAATCTTAGCATTAGTAAGCATTAAAATGGTTTGAAAAAGGTGCATACATCATATATGCATTGAAAACAAAGTTTTTGTGAAAACACTACAGTATAGGCTGACGCATACGACTTTAGGTTGGCTTATAACAGTTTTCTATTCAGTAGGTAGACGTATACAACTTTAGGTCGACCTATCACTAGTAGAAAAAATACTTTATAGTAGAGGTTGTTAAGTCAGTTCACCTGCCACCTGACTTAAGAAGTGATGTGCTGGCAATTTCGTAAATATTTAGAACATTGTTAAGTCAGTTACATTTAGAACTGACTTAAAAAAAATTAAAGAAAAAAAATATAATTCCTATTAAATTTCTTAAGTCGGTTGTGTTCATTAACTGACTTAATAAACATATTTATTAAGTCAGGTATTGCCCACCTGATCTATGAAGTTTTATTCAAACCCTTATTCTTCTTCACAATAAACCGTACATTTCACGAACCCTTTCATGCCCAAAACCTAGAACAACCTTCATTACCCTATTTCTCTCCTTCTTTCTCCAAAACCTTCACCGTTATCACCATATTCGAATAACATCACCGGCGACACCCTTTCCTTTTCTCTATTTCCTCTCATCTCCTCTACCCTAAAAGCTCCACCTTCCCTCCACCGTGACAACAACCCACGCCGCCTCTCTTCACTTTCTTCCTTTTCAACCATTATCCTTCACTTTTGAAAGGTATTACTGGTGCATTTAGCCCTGGAGTACTAACAGCTTTGATGGGAGTAAGTGGTGCTGGAAAGACTACTCTAATGGATGTTTTAGCCGGAAGGAAAACCGGTGGATATATTGAGGGAAAGATCACAATATCTGGCTATCCAAAGAATCAAAAAACGTTTGCTCGCATATCAGGATATTGCGAACAATTTGATATCCACTCACCTATTGTTAGCCATGGAGCGTTCCCGAGGTACTGCGTCCACTGTATGAATCATCAACGATGCTGGCTCAGAAGACAACAATGGTGGTATGGTATTTTGTACTTCATTATTGACAGTGATTTTGTTTGAACTTAAAACACTTGAATCTGCTTTTCACATAAGCCAGCTTTCACATCCACTCCTTAAAGCTTCAGAGTCTGCAAGTATTGTTTTCATATCTTCCACAGTGTATAAATTGAACAGAACTAGTAACTTTCCTTATCTCAACTTTGGTCTTACTTCTAACTTTGAGCTTACTTCTAACTTTATCCATATAGGAGCCTCTAACTTTGAGCTTACTTCTAACTTTGGTAATTATCCATATAGGAGCCTCTAAATTTGAGCAACCTGTAGCGTGAATAATACCGCACCGTTACAATTGATTTTTCTTTCTTTAGAAGTTTTATTGTTTCAGTTTCAGTTTGTTGATTTGGCACTGGTGTAAAACCGTATGGATAATGATACTAGAACCCATCTATAGAGTGTTATCCAGACCCTTACAGAGGTATTTTTGGCTCTGATGGAGAGAAGTATGCAAGAGATGTCCAAGATATCATTAACTTTGGAACTTTTGGAAATGTTGTTGCATTCATGTCTGAATCTATACAGGTATATATCTAAGTGAAGCATATATGAGGTTGTAACTGTTGCAGATACTGCCAAATCCTTAATATTTAGATAATAGACCTCAAAACTGCCTAATAATACTAGTAGTATAAACTGAGGTATCATGTAGTAAATCTGTATGGTATGACTTCAATCCAAAATGAACTGGTAATGTAATGCTCTTGTTGTTTATGGTAGGGAGTGGGGGGCATTGTTGAATTGGCACCTGGTTACTTGTCTGCTGCCTATGATAGTGTTAAAAAAGCTGGAGGTCTTTGTATTGCTGACGAGGTTCAAGCTGGATTTGGTCGCACTGGTAGCCATTTCTGAGGATTTGAAGCCCATGGTGTTCAGCCTGATATAGTAACAATGGCAAAGGTAATTCATCTCTCTGTTAAAGTTGAATTGAATGAGACAACCTTACTTAATTTAGCAAACAGAACAGCCTAACTGTCTACGCCAACAAAATATTTTCCTTGTCTGGTCATGAGAGTGATGTATAGTTTATACGCCATAATTGATACTTATATCCAAGGTTTTCTTTTATCTTAAAAAAATTATGCGACCATGAT